TAGGCTTTCCTCAACAGAATACTCTTCAGTTTTTTTTTGAATATTTCCAGGTGTGTATCTTTCATTTCAATAGTTAATTTATTAAACAGTTTCATTCCTAGATAATTGCGACTAGTACTTGCTAATTTATGTTGTTGAATCAGCAGGTTGTCTCTATTTCTTGTATTATAATTATGATTATCACTAAGTGTCTGATAGTTGCTGATATTTTCTTTTATGAATACCAAGTTAGTATATATGACTGATGAAGGTAACGTCAAAATACCTAGCTGTACAAATCACGTCTTACAACTTTCCAATCTGTTTAATCCTACAATTGCTTTAATTGCTTTTTTTTGGAGTAAAAAAATAGGCTGTAAGTAGATAGAGTGTCCCCAATTTAATAATCCATATGTCATAACATTATGAAATAGTGAATGGTATATCATGATAGCCGCTTCTCCACCTAAATTAATTTTAACTTGTCTAATAGCATAAATGGCCTTAGATAACCTACTCGAAAGATTGTCTGTGTGAGTTTTCCATGACAAGTTGCTGTCCAAGTGAATTCCTAAAAACTTTAACGACTGAGCATCATTTCCTTGGTTTGAGATTATCATAGAAGCTGTTTTCGCTTTATTGATTTCTGCTTTATTTGCGTTGAACCAATCATTAGCTGACTCAGTTATGTCCTGGATAACGGTGGTTTCCTCTCCTTGTCTTACCCTCGTATGAAATGTTGTGTCGTCGGCATATAAGATAGTCTTCATATTAATTGAAGAGGGCAAATCGTTTATATATATAAGAAACAGCAAGGGTCCAAGAATACTGCCTTGTGGTACTCCATATTCCATTGGGGATTGTTTACTGAATTTATTGTCATGATACACAGATTGTGTTCGATTTGTAAATAGGTGTCAATAACGATATTTTTAGGCGACTTGGAGATTGTCCTAATTCAACTGATTTATTCAGGAAAAATGTTAAGTAAGGTGCTATGTCTGAAGCAGACTTTTTCAGGAAATAGACTGGGACTTCATCTTTTCTGGTAGATTTCTTGTTTTTTAAATCTCTTCTATGTCGGTAGCGGTGAAAGGTTCAAAGGAGAAGGAATTGATAAGTTGGAAGCGCGAAGTTGTGCAACTCATAGACGAATTATCGTTGAAATGGGTTTCGAGTTGATTACCTACAGTCGATACAAAAAAGTGTCCAAATATATTAGCTAAATCTCTTCCGTTTGAAATTATATCTTCTCCGTGGTTAAGTTCTATATTTTCCGTTGATTTTTTCTTATTCAAGCGTGAATTTATTATTTCCCAAATGCCTTTGTTTTTATTGCTGGAGTTTTCTATAAGATTTGTGTAGTAATGTTGATTCGCTTTCCTCACGTGTTGATTATAGGGCTTTTTGGACTGTTTGTATCCAATCATTGGGATTTTTTTTTCGTGCGTAATTCAGATTTTGAAAATTTTTTGATTAGGATTATAGTGGATGGGTGTACTAGGGGGCAGATACTCGAGGTAATTTCGACTTTATTAAAGTTTTTGGGAAAGAAGCTTCAAATGCAAATGAGAAATATTCCCAAAATCGTTCGAAAGAATAGTTTATGTTAGAGGTTTCCAAGTTATTTGAAGAGAACAATTTTAAATACACATTTCCAGAATCACACAAAGAAGGCAAAAAAGATATCCAAATAAACAGTGAACAGAATATTACAGAGCCCGCATACAGATTCACATATAGGAAACCTAACAACATGAGAAAAAGTTTAACTTTCAAACTACAGTAAGAAAAATAATAACTGTAAAATAATCATTACCTATTAGCTGTTGAAAGTTTTTCAAATATTCAGGGACGAAATATATCCTATATACCTTTTCAATTCAATGAAAAGAATTATTTTGCCTTGTATTAGAAACAAAAAGGAGAACATATTAGAGAAAATATGCTGTTGAGGTGGGTTAAAGGACAAGACAGGAGTAAAGATAATCGCATTGCCGACTCTTCAGCCAAGGAAGCGGCTGGACCCAGCGACACCTACGGCCAAACGTCACACCCATCCTCAATCACTAAAGAGATGGGATGGAATCAAAGGATGCAGTCTTGCGAGGATCACCCTGGGTGACCCTGGGAAGCTGGCGCCGAAGAAATATCTGTCGATGACCAGGAAAAACTTACGCTTAACAGTAGGATTTCTGACTGGCCACTGTCAACTAAGGAAACACCTCCATATTATGGGGCTAGTAGAAACACCTCTATGCAGGATGTGTGAACAGGAAAATGAGACTGTCAGGCATGTCCTATGCGAGTGCCCAGAGTTATCGTCAATAAGAGAGTACATGTTCGGCGAGTCTTGGCCTTCACCTGCCTATATAAAGGAGATATCTCCTAGTGACCTGCCCCCCTTCCTGTAGAGGACAGGAGGGACGATGACCTAGGAGGACCACTCCTCGGGAGGTGTACAATGGCTCACATGACGCCTAAGTGCTGTGGGCCTACACTCAACCTCCCTACTATACAGATGACTCCCTAGATCACCTGATATGACGCCTCTAGACTTTTTTTGGGGATTCGTGAAATCTAAAGTATTCGTTACACAACTTACATTTCATTCCAGAGCTCATGGCTAGAATAGGCGGGCTCCCAACAAAAATAACCCAGAAACCTTCCATGCTGTCACAAATCAATGTTTTGGAGTCTTCTTATAATGAATGTTTTTGGGTGCGATCTCTAATTTTACTGTTTCTCTGAAAAATAAGTAACATGCCTGAGAAAGCTATCGTGGAGTGAAATACATGTTGCGGTTTTATAATCTGCGAAAAATCTCACAACAAATACGTTTATCATGGATTTCTATCAAGTATCAGCCAATTCCATCACATATTAGAAAGTGTATGTTATCATCATTGTTTCAATGTTAACAGCAAACGATATTCGAATCTAATTAGTTTTAACACGTTAATAATTTGTCATAATTGAGAATGTCTAGACTAGTTTGTGTTGGTTCGATATTTGGACAGCAGATAATGGAAATAGGGCAACATTCAATTAAATTAACGATATTTTTATTGTTCAATTTTGGAATATTACATGAAACCAAAGCAATAAATACCCACCTGCTTACACTGATACTTCAGTAGGTATTATACTGCGATTGATTATACATCCTGACAAAAAAAGGTAAGCAAATGTTTTTTAATTTCATTGATTTTTTATAAACTTGATGACTTTGAGAAAATTTGTAAATAGTTGAAATGCATTCTTTATGCAAATATTGTACTCTATTGAAAAACTGTGAATCTGTAATTTTGTTGGATTTTGAAGGAAACGACATTGAGAATAATTTCTTTTGGGAAAATGAGTATAGATGAATGTAATTTGAAATTATCAGAATACCTTCACTTGAATAACACTAGAGTTTAGTCCCAACACCAAACCGTTATTTTTAAAACATCTACACGTGTTTCAATCACCAAGTGATCATGTTCAAGACGAAGATTAAACTAAATTACATTCAATATCTTCCTTATTCATACTATAGATACCTCTGTTAGGTACCTGCGTCTCAATTGTCTTAAAATAATTTTACATGTTGCCTTATCTACTAGTTTTGAATTAATTTTCACAATATTGCCTTATCTAACAGTCAGCTATATAGTACACCATCAGGTATTGGTCCACCATTGTCATTCATAATTTTATTTTTACTCATTTCTACACTCTCATAGGCATCTAGAGGCCTGTTGTTAACTTGTCTAACTATTCTCAATGAACTAAAGTCTATGGAATAGTTTTGTTGCAAAATATGATAGGCGACTGCTGATTTTTCAGGTTTTCCATATTTTAAGTGTGCTCTGTGTTCCTTACATCTTATTCTGATAGATCTTTTTGTCTGTCCATAATATTTTGCATCGCAGTCCTTACATTTAATTTCGTAAATTCCAGACTTTTCCTAATTCTCGACTGCCCTAAAAGACTATATAGTGTATGACTTGTTTTGAAAACCACCTTCATAACTAGTTCCTTGAAAATTTTTCCAAAGTTCTTCGTGTATTGGTGGTATGGAACTGAGATATATTTTTCTTGATTTTCGTCGTTTTTGAAAGGCGATATTTCATTCATTCTTAACCTAAACGTTATCTTCCTTATTATATCATCTACAATACCCGTCGAGAAACCGTTAGTGGCTGCTATTTCCTGTAATTGTATGTTTTTCTTTTGTGGACCTCTCATGTGTGAGAGTAAAAGTCAAAAGACGATGCACTAAAAAATTCAGCCCAGCACGTTTGTGCTGTCCACAGTGATGTGAAATGTCAGAAATATACCTTTACGTGCTTGTTTCTCTTCTAAATACATCGTATAAGCCTCCATATTGGCTCCTCATTACCAAAACGCCAAGAAATGGAAGTTGTCCTTTATTTTCCAACTCAATATTCGATTTTTTGTTATCAAATATCGCGAAAACATCATCCACATACCTTAGCCATATCCTAGGAAAATTCTTTGACTCCAGTAATATTCATTACTACACCAAAGGTTTCAAACAGTGCATTACATGAAAAATGTCAATTGATTTTGAAGCAATATCTAACGACGCTCAAAATCCAATCTCATTGATGTTATCTACGGAATGGATAACGATTGAAGATATATTAAGTGATATTGAAACAATTGATCTTGTGAAGTTTGAGCATATGATTTCTGAAGTTTCTTAAGATTCAGCTATTGCCTCCATCTGTCTGGTCTAGATCTTACGGATATTGAATCATGCATTTTATTACTTTGAGCAGGGATTTTTTTGTTTGAAATTAATATCCATAAACTATTTATACGTTTTCTGAAAAATTTTCAATTGATACTGGATCACTGAACAAATGAAAAATTTGGAAGTCTATAATCTGCTGTTCATGAATATATAATTCTTCATCATTTATGATTGAGTATGGCCTTTGAAGTTTCTGAAAACTCTCATGTCGCATTATCAATTAATTTCGTTAAAAAATTCTCTATACTCCTTTCAGTTATCCAAAATGAAACTAACTCTGTTGATTGCTATTATTGGAATCTCTTCAGCATATGGATACTTAGCAGATGAGGTGAGTTGTCTTCATCAATAACAATGAATACATAAAATATCAATGTTTTTCTAATACCTTCATATATTCTCTACAAAAATGGAAACAACCAAAAATTATTGTAATGTATTTTGAAAGCATTGAAATATATCGGGAATTGTCGAGAAAAGCCAACCCTTCCACTGCCTGTCATGAAATTTTCTACAAAAAACATCTGTACTATTTTTATAATTTGTATACTCTTTTCATTTTATGCTAGAATATGGTCCATCAGAAATATAAAAGTGAATGAATACCTGACTTAGTTCAATTGTGAGTTTCATCTTGATTTGATTGAGATATTTTTCATATAACTAAGTCTTGGCGATGACAAAATTTTCAAGATATTTTTATATTAAATTCTACTATTCCAATTTCACACACTCATATGCTTATGTAGGGTCCAAACTTGAAAATGGAGGGATGATCTGGTTTCCCATTTATAATTCTCAATATAGCAAATTGAAGCTGTCCAAAGAAAGTTTTTGATATTCTTGACTTTTCGCATTACAGGTACTTACCCCCGAAGAGAAATTGACTATTGTATCCTTTTAAACCAATTTGATATTATATCATGTCGACTGTTCGTTACAGTCACATTTCTATATATTTTAATGAATAATAACAGTTCTTGTGCCACGCTGCTACAAAAAATCAATTTTTATGTAGCACGCTTCAATTCAAGACACGAGAAAAAAAAATTATTTTCAGATTGGTAGAACGAATTGGAATCTCAGAGTACCAGTTAATATATGTGTTATAATGTAACATGACTATTATTAATGGAAGTTCTTTTATAATGTTTATATTTATATTGTTTTATATCAACATTGTGGAGACTAATTCATTTACAATATGTCAATTGAATCTATTTATGTTATTTTTCAACGAATAACAGTCTATCAGTTATCTTTTTTGAATTATTATAAATGAATATGATTTCGTAACTTTTTTGAAACCATCTAAGAATTGTTCCATTAGAGGTTTACAATTTACAGTTGAAAATTATACTGTGGTTTGCTGAAAATTAATTTTTCGATTCGAAAAAAATGTCCACAGCTTCTTTGTTAGCTGATCATTTTGTAGGCGAAAATCCTAACAAAACTCTAAATAAATATAACATGCATCAAAGATATTTTGAAACCTCCGATACCTGGTATATTTACAGCATAAATTGAATACCGAATCTTCAAAAAGACAAAGTATCACATCTTTCATGTAGATACATTCATGTGAAACAAAAATCTCATAGTTTTCAGAAAATGCGAATTAAGCTGCAAATAAAGTTCATATTTCAACCTTCAAATGGATGTTACTCACGAACCCTGTATTTCTTTACACTTAGCCTCAGATTGTTGCCATTTTTAAGAGTTTCGATAAGATTTTTTTTTCATTTTAGGATTATGGTGCAGAATTCCTTGCTTTAGCCAAACTTACTCACAAGAAATGTGTCCCTATCACAGGTGTTACCCAAGAGTTGATAGATGCAATGAAAAACGGAAATTTTCCTGACAACGAAATTTTGAAGGTAAGTGACATATTCCAGGCGACAACGGGAAATCAAATTCGAAATCATAGACCATTCACTTTCACTAGTACCAGTAGCTTTCACCGTGCTAGGAATCGTACGTTGAAAGGTGAAACCTCGTTAATCCTTAGCTCGCACAAGTTAATGTTTTTGAGGGTTGTCGTTCGTGAAAGGGCGACATCCGGTTAACCGATTTTGACGATATTTTTGACAGTATATCAGTACCTACTGAAAAGGGTCCATTCTGAAATTTTTTATCACACGGCTATGCTGCACTACAAAAATGGCTCAAAACATTTATGAAATGTCGGTTTTTGAATATCATCATTTAGAATCTGAATTTCCAAATATCTTCAACTAATTGAGTTGATTAAATTCTTTCCCAGCCCAAAGTTTAAGTTGCCTTTTTGAACATGACAAAAATTCCTCATAAAATTGATTCAAACCTATACCAATATCAAGCCGCGATTTAGTATAAATAATACTTATCAATTCACTATTGAATAGTCGACTGTCGGAAAGTGATTTCCAGAGAGAGCTGAATTTCATCACCACTATTAATATCGCATCGCTAGATTTTTTGAAAAAAGAAGCATATACGTAGCTCACAGAACGAATAATAGTCTAAGTAAATTCATTAAAAACAATAAAGACAAAACTTTGGTGTCGGATAGACTAAGCTGACTTGAGGCTCTCGCCTTAAACCTTATATTGGCCAAACAGGGAACACTTTTCCCCAAAGAATTGAGAAACATAGAAGTAGTTTCCTAAATAAAAAGGTCAATTCCACATTTACAAACTACCTTTTAGAAGAATTGTTGTGGAATTGGCCGCGGTGGTAGTGCGCCCGACTCACGATTCCCGCCTCGACCAGATATTTTTCTCAATTGAATTTATCTGCTTGAAGATGGGATGATTCTGCAATCGTGTTAGGAATCAAACGTTAAAAGGTACGACCTCGTTAGTTCTTAGTTCGCACAAGTTTCTCAACTTCTGAGAATTGTCGTTCGTATGGCGGCGACAGCTGATTTTTTGAACAGAAGTAATAGATTCAAGAATTCGGCTAATTTACTGAATGACCGAATTGAACAAGTCCCCGTTACTTCAAATGTGGAAACTGTTACGTAAGCTCAGGTTGCATTTTTGTAAAATTGTTCAGTGAAAATCTCACAATGAAGTGTTTTTTGAATGAAAAATGTTTGCAGCCCTTTCTCTCTCTGCTGCTGCTGCTGCTTTATTGTCTGTATGGCACTACAGTCTCTTTTTTATAGAACAACGTATATCAAGTACTATTTCGAGTCGAAGATCGAGTGCCAATTATCGGATAAGGACTAACTTCAAATTTGTATTGTAGTGTCTTGCAATTATCTAAATTGCAGCTCATTGCGCTGATATTTCTTGGAAAATTACTGACTCTTCAACTAAACTGAGCTTTCTATCATGAGAAGGTACTGGACTCAATTATTTTCTGTTCAAAGGAACATAGAAGTTTTGACCATGTGTTCATTTTCATTTACAAATAAGGCAAGTGGGCCAAAATTGTTGAATTTACTATGACTGAAAATACAAATAAACTAGTAACTTCATAACCAAGCAAGCAGACTTTAGTGTTCGCTGCTTATGTGTCATTGAAAATACCCATTGAAGCTCCCACTTATATGAAGAATTTCGTGATCTCGATGAAAAACTTCTTCAATATTTTGCTTTCGTTTCGCTTCTAGTTGTAGAAACATTTGGAAGCGTTCTGTTTCCTCCTTGTTTCGGTATTATTTTTATTATTCCCCTAGTTATAGAAATAGCCGGTCTGTTCAGTTTTTTAAAGCTCCATAGTTATCAGAACCTCTAGAAATTAGGTTGGATTTAAATTCCTGCATCTTAACAGAATGATCTTGAAAGACCTTTTGTCTAGCAACATGTTTAGAAATTCTAGATGATTGACAGAATAACATAGTCTGCTCTTCTTCAAAAATCGTATTGGATTCTGTATAATTACAAATAATTCATAATCATACTAACTGCAATGCTTTTTTTCAGCGATACACCTTGTGCCTCTGGCTGGTTGCTGAAGCGGTAAGTATTGAAACAAAAGACAAAACTGAGGGTTTCTTCTTAGAATGTATTGGTTTTCGACAGTAAAATGGTACACAAATCTATATGAAAATTTTGCCAACCGATTAGAAAAACTACGATGGTACATACTTATACTGGAAAGAGCAAAAGATAAAAGCCTGAAACAAAAATACTTGAGTTAGAATTCATTCAGAGGAAGTTAATATTTTGATTAGTGCAAGATATGGCACCATACTGAAACTTTGTCGGAAGCAATATTCTGTTGGGTATACATTCATCATAACAAAATTGTGTCATCAAAACAAAATTACTTAGCAGTAAAAGTGAATTCGGCCAAAGTTACATTAATATAAATATCAAAATGTCTTCACTGATAATTTGGTAGAATGGAATAAATAATTATTTCGAATTCTACTGAATTCGCAGTGATCTTACTCAGCGTTGAGTAAGATCACTATCAGCGATAACTGATGAAAGATGATAGTGGTAGTAATATTCATAAGTTTACTAGCAGACACAAAAGTAGTACAATGTAAATTGAAAGGGGTATATTTTTAGAAGAGAATGATTTTTTGGGAAAGAATGATTTTGACTGCCTGCTTCTCCATCTCCATCAAAAATGAGAAAATCTTCTTAAGAAACCAATTAATTTCAACATGACCTCTTTACGAAGATTTGTAGATCATGCAAAGAAGTTACTTTCAGACACAAACTGGAAGAAAAATCCTCTCGAAACAACTACCTTCATATAAACATTGAATTACATGAAAGAAAACAACTATTGAATTATACAAAAAAACACTTCCTATCAAGTTTATACTCCAAATATTCGTTATGAAAATGAATCGGACATCATTCACAGGATTGCTACACATTATAGTACATGAAAGATGTACAATTTAACTCAATGGCGAACATCCGATGTTTCGGAATATCAATTGCCTCTTTAGCACTAATCTGGATAACATCACGAGCTGAAACACTCAATCAATTCATGATAGAACGACTTCACTCCTTTATTTGATTCGATCCCAGCCAAAGGAATCTTGTTTGAATTGAAACGGGTATATTTATAAGACAGATTAATTTTTGGGAAAAAAAGATTTTGGCTTTCTACTTCTTGATTTTCACATGAAGTAATGTGAGAATATTGCAAAGGAAGAATTCAGAATAAAATCTTCGAAAAAATGTGTAGATCCTAAAGAGAAGTAAGTTTCAGACACAAACTGAAAAAAAAGCTCTTTGGGAAGCCAACAAAATGTTGGCTTTGAGAACCGTTGTTGTTTTGTAGCTTATTCGCATACAACTGCGACTCAAAAAACCCAACAAGAAAAAATCTAATGGAGTTAAGTCGCACGATCTAGGTGGCCAATTCACATTACTAGGTCAGTTGAATTTTGAATGGGTGCAGGCTCATGTCATGACGCGAAAATTCGCCAAGTTATAGTCAGCGAAAAGCCGAGTTCTTGTGAGCGACGCAAAATCGACTGCCTCGGATTCTCCTGCATACTCTCACAGACAGCTGAGATATTTTCGACAGATCTTGCGTTTCATCGACGTACGGGTGTTAGTCGATCGTTTACTGATCCAGCGGACTCTACTGAACTATTGGACCAGTGGATTTGGGAAAGTTCTGCTCATATCTATTTATGACATTACGTGGAGTGTTTTGGTGTCTATTTCGTACATGTCTCTTATTGGCTCAATGAAACAGCTACTAAAAATGTTTCTCAGTGTGGATCAACTCATTTTCTTGTTTTCTTTCTGGGTCTTTCAACCTTTTTTTGGTCTAGATTAATGAAGAATATGAGCAAGAGTAAGATAAAACAATTTTTTGGTGACATTTTTGGAAGGCCAAATGCAATTCCAATGTTTACCTGCTTGATCAACAAAAAAAAGCACATTTGGAATTGTCCCACTTTCCTTCCTAAATTTTCTGCGAACATTTTTTACGGAATTCTTTTTGAATATTTGTGTTCAATTTGTTCAATTAATTTTTTAAATATAAATGAATATTTTCAGTATAGTATTATTTTTAGATGACTACTGATTTTAATATAAATACCAAGATGGTGGAAAAGAGTATGCCTAAAAAAATTGTTAACGGCAAAGAATTACTTCAATCATGTGGCAAACAAGCTCAGAAATCAGGTGAGTAATTTCTGTAATATTTTATTTTAAAAGGCCATTTCATTTCTGAATCCTTCAACCTTGAAAAGTACTATTTAAAATCCCCTGGAATTTTAACAAATCTAACTACATCAATGCACTTTTAGGTTTAACATCACCTCACGAAACAGTATATGAAGTGATGAAATGTTTCTACAAAGCAGATCCTGAAGTAAGTATCGCTTATTTCTGTCAGCTCATATATTGAACACGTTTGAGAAAGCGAGTGCAAATTTATAAAAAATCAATAACACACTTCGAAGTGTACTTTTGTAATCACTCCTTTAAATCGCTTTCATTTTTGATTGTTAGGACTCAAGATGTGTGAACTAAACTGGTAATCCTCGCGCATCCAGTAAATTTTATATTACCAAGTAGAAGATCACTATAAAGGGTTGAGAAAGCTATTGTATAACGAAACTCGTGTCGCGGTTTTCGTAATACCCTTTATAAACTGTTTTATTGAGTTTTAATATGGATTTTCCTCAAGTATCGGCCAGTTCTATTCAATTAAGTAGAAGATGTTGGAACAATCTTGGCATGCACCATTTCTTCTAGTTTTTTCACCATTCCGTCTAGTAACTTCTGAAATCAGCAGAAAAACATAAAATTTTTTCAAAAATCAATGATTACTCAAGTACAAATTTTTCGCTAATTTGAAGAATTCACTATTTCGTCTAATAACTTCTGGAATTACGAGGTAGCTGAACATGTGATGGTTGATAATCAGGATAATGTGTGCCTCATTGATAACATTGCTTTTCCTTCGAGTTTCTCCATGCCTCGTAATTCCATGCTTCACAAAGTCATGAATCAATTATTACCCAAGTACAAATTTCTAATAGAATTTCTTGCTGATTTGAAGATTTCAACATTTCATCTAGTAACTTCTGGAATCACGAGATGAACATGTGATTTGATAATAATTAAGCTCATACTTGCCTCGTTAAACATTGCTTCGCCATCGTATATCATATGCTTCACATCAATGATTACCCAAGGACAAATTTCTCAGGAAATTCCCCACTAATTCGCCCCAGTGAACATTGCTTTTCCACTAGATCACGAAATTTCTCCAACATGTCATGTAGTAACTTTTGGAGTTATTCAATTTGATAATAATAAGGTCCCATTTACCTCAGTAAACATTGCTTCTCCCTCATATCTCATATGCTTCACATAAATGATTCCCCTACTACAAATTCCCCAAGAAATTTCCTCAACTTGCCACATAGTAATTTCTGGAATCACGAGATGAACATGTGATTTGATAATAACTAAGCTCATACTTGCCTCAGTAAACATTGCTTCTCCGTCGTATATCACATGATTCACATCAATGATTACCCAAGGACAAATTTCTCAGAAAATTTCCTACTAATTTGCTCCAGTAAACATTGCTTCTCCCTCAAATCACGAAATTTGATGTCATGTAGTAACTTTTGGAATTACGCGATAAGTACTACCTAAGTACAAATTTCCCACAAAATTTCCTGAAAATTTTATAGAGTCACTTCTGAATTCACGAGATAAACATGTGATTTGATAAGTAAAGTCATATTCACCACAGTAAACATTGCTTCTCCGTCGTATCTCATGTGCTTCACATAAATAATTCCCCAAGTACAAAATCCTCACGAAATTTCCTCAACGTGTAATGTACTAACTTCTGGAATTTTCTGCTAATACGAATAGAATGCAATCATAATTGCCCCAGTAAACATTGCTTCTACCTTAGTCCTGACACCAAACACATTTACTATTTTCAGAAAATATCCAAAAGTTCGGTGTCATATAACTGGTCTCAACCGTACCAAACAATGTTCTTTTATGGCTGTTTACCGATGTGTTTAGCGCAACTGGACTTATCTCATCTCGAAAATTGAATACTTTTAGGAGAAATTAGATTTATTTCAAACTTCGATCCAAAGAATCAGTCAGAGTTGATCGATATCAATGAACTTCAACTGCTAATCTTTTTGAAAAGACAATCCTCAATTATTTAATAATCACTTCAGCTACTTTCTACTACATTTTCTCGTTTTTCGTAAAAACAATTCTCATATAAGTCGTCGTGAATATTCAACATAATTCTCATATGTTTATTTCAGCACTTCATCATGTTCTAAAGGCAAGTTCATGGAGCCAGAATGAAGGAACACCCATGTAGTGACATCTTATGAATACTAACTTCAAACATGTATTAATTATATATTCACCAATATAACGTCTTAAAAGAGAATGATTTTATTTCGATGAATTATTCCTCCCAACAGTAATAATGTTTCCACTTGAGAGTGTCTCCTTCAAAATGAACATCGACTAATCAATGGGAACTTCTTCGAAAATAAAATAAGAGTGAATACCTATTCCACAATGCTTTCGATAAGAAACTGTCAGTTTTCAACCAAAACATACTCATGTTCTCCTCATTGAAACAAAGACCAAAACATTCAGAAACGAGACTGTTGTGATAGTAGCAGCTCTGTTTTTTTCTTCACGATGGAAGGTCAGATGAAGAATGTACTGAAATAAGAAACTTGTGGTACATAAGAGTTGACTGTGAATGTTGATATGTTTCTTTTGTGTTGAATATTTTTGTAATATTTACCTTCATCCAACAACTTATATTAAATGAAAGATTTATTTTTGGTGCTTCTTATGAATGGAACACTCCAATTTGAAAGCTTTAAAAAGAACACATATCCTCCTGGTGAATATGAATGGTTAACTATAGAATTCTTTTGGGTTACTATCCAAAAATCTGAACTTGATATGATTACAAAATAAAAAAACAAATGTCACGAATAATGTAAACGAAACAAATACTAGAGCATCTTGAGACCAGTCTGGACAATAATCTAACCAAAATGAAACTTATTTACGGAAGCTTGACTTGGGGAGTAATCTGGTGGCTGCGTGACGAAAGCGTTACGAAAAGTGTGATCGAACGAGGCGAACGGAAGTTGAGAGGGAGGTGTAAGTTATTGAAGATAGATAGAGAGAGAGAGAGAGAGAGTTACGTTTCGTATATTACTGTAGGAGCAAGAAAGAGAGGTGCGACCACATATTTACGGTCGAGTAGGCACTGAAGAACTAGAAGAAAACAATCATACTTTGCCACTAATTTTAGCAGGTGATTCCAATGTTAATTTCGTATCCGAAGATGGACAACTCTTGGTAAACTTTCTGCAAGATAAATTACAACTACAAATGAATAATAACCAAAATGAGCCTATCACGAGACGTGGAACAACAATCGATGCAGTTTTCTGTAGATATTTCCATTCAAAAACATATGTATCTCATTTCTAGCACCATAAGCCTTATTATCTCGATCTAACCATGAACCACGTAATTACTGATATATCCGATAGTGGAAATAATGAATAAAAATTGTCTTTCGACAGTCCAAGTCTCTGCATGTGATGATTCAAATGGCAGTGAGCTGTAAGAAGGCCTGTTAGATATCGTAGTTCATCCCTACTGTAGTCCAACAACTGTTTGGAGTTTGGAATCAAGCTTCGAAGGGTGAATAAACGCCTTGGAGTGAGCCAATCCTAGAAGATTCTGCCAGAAGTCCATAACTCTTCTTGCCTTCCAGGTGTTAATTGTTTATTTGGCAAAGCCCAAAGCGATGCCAATGACAGGTTCTGGTTCAATGAAGCCGCTTGCAGCATCCTCCTTTACAAGAGAGTCAGCAGCTTCATTGCCTTCCAGGCCAGTATGGCCAGGAATCCAGACCAGAGACAATCTGTTTAGTCTATGAACCAACAACTATCTGCTTTCAATATTTCCTTCTTCCAGTCTTCTCTACTCGGGAATAGTATTTTATAAGGCAGTTCGTAGTTGACAGTTGGAGGCATAAAGTCCGGGGATTTCCAGAATGCTGTGACTTCCAATGTCAACCAACAGTCTGTTGCACTCTGCATTGAATTGATTTGTGCAATTGGCGTTCATGTGGACTAAACTTCCTGAGAAGGTTTTTCCAAATGGATTTATTCTCCAGCGATTCAAATCCAACGTGAATCGCTACTTTCCAACAGGTACCGCTCTAAGAGCGCCTTAAGGATTTTCCTGTAGTGCGTGTGTTTTATCCTTCAAAAAAAGTCCAGAAGAATGTGACAAAAATTGAACAAAGGGCCCATACAAGCTAGAAAGTACATGAAACAAGATTGTTGTTGGTTTTTGGAGACTTGTAAGAAATCTACAGATCAGTGGACTCTCAAGAAAAAAAAATAATAGAAGAGCCAATATCAAACAGTTCATTCTCATGTTTCTTAATAACGAATTTTGTAAGGACTACAAGCTTTGTTGATTTTTGATTATGGATTCGTATAATTGGGTTCCATACATGTGTAATCCACAATAATCAAAACCTGTGAAAGAAAATATTATCTTGTTTTACTCTAAAAAATAGGCACATTTGAATGTATTTCATTTCAATATCATAAAAAATATAGTTCGAACCAACTCATCACTTTTCATTCATACAGTCGATTCTGTTATATAAGCTTTGATCTTGAACTTATTTCACACGTATCCTGGAACAATTCTCAATCTCGTTAACAATGCTCGAAGGGCGGACGTCCTTGCACCAACTTTTTTAACACAAATCGAATGATTGTAATTCAAATTGCATATATTGTCGTTTCATACGTTCGGCAAGCTGCCACAAAAGTTAATTATCGAGTTCGAAAGTGTTCGGAAAGAATGATTACGGGTTGCCAAATTGGCTGAATGCGGAGGGCGGTCCGTTTTGATTCGTGCCGATGTAAATATTTACTAGGCACGTGTCGTTAAAGTTGAAAAGCGTGCCGAATCATGCGACTTCCCAAACGGTTCGTTCAAGTGCAGCTACTGATTAGTAAGGAACACCTCTTCTCTGCAGGGGTGTCCTCGATTACCTAGTGTGGGCTTAGACAGTGTATAGGACCCAGCTCCCACAATTCGATAACAAAGAAAATGAAAAAAGTTTTTACAGAAAATTTGCAGTGGAAAAATATTTGTGTTAATTGCATTAAACTGCCTTAACTGTGTTGAAGCAATTTTTTGGGAATGATCTACAGGTTGTTATGCCTGACGTTTCGCCTACTTCTGCGGTAGACATTATCAAAGGCGATGAGGTTGTTGATCAAAGAATTCGAGTAGTGAAACTATCAGTAAAAGACTTGAAAAAGGAACTTTTAATGAACGTGATACCTTCACAAAGACAACTATTTGTGACTATCTACGTCAAACATGACAGCTCAGTTATATCAGCATTACTCCAATATATATATACAGGGCTATTAAAATTCGTTTCTGTATATGGGGATCTCCTAAACGATAAGAGATACAGTGTCGGTTGAACTGTGACAAAGTTGCGTATTTTAGAGACTTATTCAATGATGTCAAAAAATCGACTATAACTCTTTTGGTTCTGGAGATATACAGGAAAAACCAAAAAATCCCAAATTATTTTTTTGTCTATATCTTCTTTATTTGCAGACATATTGAAAATCTGTCCACATTTTGCTATTGGCACTTGATGTGGGCTATCAGAATATGTCCATGAATCTTTTATACAGGGCCACCCCATCTTTAAATTTTCAAATACGGACCTGTATTTTTTGTAGTAGTTTTTGGATAGTAAACGTTCATTCCATACTGGGTAATTGAATTTTATTTTATATTTCGGGATGTTTGGGTAATATTTGATTATAATTGGGTGAATTATTCCCTTTTAAATTACGGCCCTGGAAATTGGTTGACTGAGTTGAATGAGAAAGCAATAGCTACCTTCACGTATCCCTATGTACCGTAGAGTTTTTCGAAAGTTTTTTTTCATTTTTAGGTACCTATTCATATTTTTTCCATTGCTCTGAGCGTTTTCTACAATGAACTACATCAAAAATATATTATTCTGTTTTGATGAACAGAAAAAGAAATGATAGCAATAATAACATCCGAAACGAATACTATAATTGTAATGAAAATTGAAATGAAGTAATTTATATACACAAAAAAATTAATGGCGCAATAAATGTTCGAATTGTTGTCATTCCATTTCGAGACAAATAATGGACTAATAAGATGGCCTGCAAGATCACCAGATCTTATTATTTTGGACTATTTTCTATGGGGGACATTGAAAAATAGGATTTACGCTGGCAGAGGGATAGTAAATGTGGAAGACTCGAGATTGAGGATTTTGAATGAAATCGCAACAATGCAGCAAATAAGTGTATTGAATTCAATAAATAACATGAATAACCGAGTTCAAAAGATGTTTCTTGTAGATATGTTTCAGATAATCATCAGTAACAATCAGATAATCAGATACAAGGTACCACGAACATGTCATTTCGGATAAAAAATCATTAATGTACGAACATCTTCAAAATTCGAAACATAAAATAGATAAAGATAATTTAAAGATCCTACACACATGCGAAAAAAGGAAAATGATGAATCTGTTGGAATCTATGGAAATAAACAGGTCAAAGAAAAATCCCAATTCTATTGTCCTCAACGAACAACTTGATTTAAATAATAGTCCTCTCCTGAACCTATAATCCAGATTCCAAAACCTACATTATATTGAAAACTTTGTTATGTTCATGGATTTTACAGGTATATGAAACGCATGTACCGGGTATCAGGTATATCAAATCATTTATGATAGAATAAGTAGCATAGGCATAAATTACTCAGATTTAAATGTAATCAGTTAGTTTTGAAAATGGTGTAATAGCCGAAACCGGTCAACAATAAAGAAATATAGTAGAAAATAGACAAAAGTGTGTTTTTGTAGTGTATCCTCAGTGAGCATGAATTTCCACAAAATAAACAAGTCGTCAGTCGAAGAAGTAAAATCGAAGAAGTAATCATAATAGGTTTTCTTATTCGAAGTTGATTGTTAAAAACTCTCAGAGCAATGGAAATATGAAAAAATATGAATAGGTACTTAAAAATTAAAAAAAAGCTTTACGGTACACAGGGTGACGTGGAAGTTTCTATTGTGTTTTTGTCTGTAACCCTAGGAATGTACGGTACAAATGCACGTGCAACCGTTTGAGTTTCCTCCCTATTTTGACTTATGAAAGTCTTCAGTTTCATGGCCTTGTTGATCTCGGTTACACTGTATCTATTCGATCTTAAAGTCACTTGAAGATGCTCTAACTCCTCTCATAGGTGTTTCGTTTCACATATTCTATGAGCACATTCCGTCAGGGTGTTGATAATTCCCCGCTTTTGGTT